TCACGGGACAAGACACACCAAAAAACCAAAAACACAACCGCCTTCCAGCCCCACCCTGTAATCCCATAATCCACCAAATGACGGCCTGAAGCCAGAATGTGGTGATGCGTACATGCCTGTACTCCCAGGAATAGGGAACACTTGATCCAGGAACTGGATCGCAGTCCAGGCAGCAGAGCGGAAATCCTTGCCTCTTAGAAAACAACAACAAACGATCTGGGTGCGGAGGTGCACACTGGTAATCTCAGCACTGGAGAGCTGGAGGCAGAGGAATCATGAGTTCAAGGCTATCCTCAGCTACATAGTGAGTGAGAAGCCAGCCTGAGCTACATGAGACTGTCTCAGTAAGCCAAAACACCCCAAACAAACAGAGCAAAGAAACACTGGGTCTGGGGTGCGGCTCTGTGGTAGAGCACTTGCTAGCTTGGTGAGGTAGTGGACCCCATCCACTGCACCGTCCGTGGATTTACCCCAAAGATACAACCTTTTCTTTTTTCTGGTCGTTTTAAGACAGAGTCTCCCTGTAGCCCAAGCTGGCCTGGAACTCGCTATGTAGACCAGGCTGGCCTCGAACTCGCAGAGATTCACCTGCCTCTGCCTCCCACCTGCTGGGATTAAAGGCGTGCGTCACAACGCCCGGCTTCAAGAAGTAACCTTTTCACGAGCTAATTTTACCTCCAGGAGTCGCTATCCCTGTGACTACTCAAGTTTGTCTACATTCCCATTCTGTTCCACTAGAAAAAGGAACACACATGTTATGCATCATGCTGGTCTATACTATGATTGCTTTGGTGATATAATAAATTTGTATATTGTTTCTCTAATTAATCCATCCTTGTCAGTTTGTTCCAACAACAGTGGGCTCTCTCTTGACTTTGGCACCTACACACTGGTGCAATGGGCCCAGGTGAGTTCAGGGCTCTGCTGTCTGCCAGGAAGAAAAGCAACGGGTGAGAACCAGCAGGAGGGAGGGTCTGCTTCCTTCTCTAACATCATGTTTATAAGACATTGCTACGCTGGAGAGGCGGCTCAGCAGTTAAGAACACCGGCTGGTCTCCGAGAAGACCCGGGCTCTATCCCAGCATCCACATGGCAGCTGACAACTGTCCGTAACTCCAGTTCCAGGGGATCTGACAGCTGCTTCTGTCCTCCAAGGGCATCGCACGACACGGGTGCACTTAACTACACACATATATACATACATAAAATAAAAATAATAAATAAAATATTTTTTTTAAAAAGAAATTGCCAGGCTGGAGAGATGGCTCAGGGGTTAAGAGCACTGGCTGCTCTTGCAGAGGAGCTGGGTTGTTCTCAGCATCCACATGGTGGCTAACAACCATCTACAACTCCAGTACCAAGAGATCCAATGCCCTCTTCTGGCCTTTGTGGGCACTCAGATACATAAAATAAAAATTAAACCCCCCCCCCCCCTTTTTAAAGGAAACGCCTCAGAGACGGCCACAGGCCGATCTAATGAAGGAAATTTCTCAGTTGAGCTTTTTTCTTCCCAGGGGTCTCTAGTCTGTGTAGGGCTGACAAAAACTAACCAGCACAGGTGTATTTGCACACTTGTGTCTATATGTGGGTATGTGTGTAAAGGCTGGAGGTTGATGTCAGGCATCTTCCTCAACTGCTCTCCACTTATTTGCTGAGGCAGAACCTAGAGCTTGCCAATTTGGCTAGTCAGCCTGCCTTTGGCATCTTTTCTCTGCCATGCAAGTGCTGGGATCACAGGAACTGTCACACCCACCCCTTTACATTGGTGCTTGGTTTCAGAGGTCCAGTCCTCACACTTGCACAAGGGCTTTATCCGCTGAGCCATCTCCCCAGCCCTTCTATGCCTTATTTTTCAATTTTTGAAAATTTATTATCTTCTATTTTATTATGTGTATGCATATATTGCCTGCATGTATGTAAGTGCCTGGGTCGTGCAATACCCTCAGAGGTCAGAAGAGGGTGTCAGATCCCCTGGAACTGGAGTTATGAATGGTTGTTAGCCACCATGTGGGTGCTGGGAATCAACCTGGGTCCTCTGCAAGAGCAGCCGGTGCTCTTAACCTCTGAGCTATCCCTCCAGTCCTACACCTTATTTTTTTAACTCATCGTGTACATCAGGCTGGTCTTGATCTCACAGAGATCTGCCTGCCTCTGCCTCAGGAGTGCTGGAATTAAAGGCATGTGCCACCACACCCAGCTAATAAATAAATCTTAAAAAAAAGAAAGAACCGTAAACATCAGTGTCGAGTGAGTACATGTACTGAGAGAGAGGATGGAGAGGCCTCCAGGTGTCAGCCACTGGACCGCCTGTCAGTCTGATCCACAGGTCCGCATCCCTACACCAGTATGTAATCAGTTTACCAACACACAGGAGAAAAATAATGATTTATTTCATTTAAAACAGCAAGACTTTGTCCTCTACCCAGTCAGGGTTAGCATCACCCTCCTGCAAAATCTCACACTTATAAGGAAGTTCTTAAAAAGGCTCACACCTCTTATAAGAAAGTTCATAAAAACATGAAGAGTTTTGTTTGTACCCTGAGCTTGGGCCATATCATAATCTTTATTTTAAAGAGAGAGAGAGAGAGAGAGAGAGGGAGAGAGAGAACAAACCAACCCAAAAGCTTCAGAAAGCCACTGGGTTTGGTGGCATAGGCCTGTAATCCTAACCACGGGCAAAGTGGGCTGGAGGATCACAAGTTCGAGGCCTTCCTGGACAACTAAGCAAGAATCCTGTCTCAAAAAAAAATTTTTTTAAGTGCAAAAGGGCTGGGGCTATAGCGTAGCATTAGAGCACTTGTCTGGTACAAGGCCCTAGGTTCAATCCCCAGTATCTCCCACCACCAAATAAAGCCACAGAAGCACACAGAGGCAGCTGGTAAACCTGATTAGAACAAGATTCAGAAAGTACACAAGGGAGATGGGGGCTGTGGACACCGGGAGGCTGCAGCACCCCTTAAGGCTGAGGTCACACTTGACTGGTTGAGGGACACAGGCAGATAAATACTGGCAACACTAACTAGAAGAGAAAGAAACCCACCCGGGGCTAAACAAAGTATAAACTGAGCAGTTGGCCTTGTGTGGGGCATTTAGGGTTCACCCTCAATCCCTCTTCAGTTCTGGACTCTGCCTACTCACTAGACCCACTTGGTCATTGACTCTGAGAAACAGGTAGAGGTTGATGTCTTGTAAGCTCATAGGGCCAGAGTGACGAAAGAAGCAGACAGAAAGAGCCAAGATATGTGACTATGTGGGAGGTTTTATAGAGGGCCTGGTCAAGGGCATCTATCAGCAAGCACAGGAGAAAAATAATGATTTAGAGTGAGCCCCAGGCTCTAGGAACAGGGGCTTTCTGAGTCCCTGACTCCCTCTGCAGGCCTTTTCAGGGTATAGCCAGTCAGGTCTCAGTCTCAAGCCAGAGGCAGCCAGGGCGCCACAGCCCCCTGCCGAGCTGGGTTTATTTTAACATCATCTCTGTGGAACATTTTCTCTTTGGCAGGAAGAACATTCCTGGATTCCTGTTCCATTCTAGAGGCTAAGAGATCATTACCAGCTGCATGCTGCTAATTCAGAAAGTTGCTGTTAGATCTTTATGGGAGTTGAGGCTGCCCTATATAGGCTATTTCTATAAGGAAATGGCCCACTGCCAAGGAACTGTCCCCAGGGCGGCTCAGTTTTCTGTGGCTCTCAAGGGGATGTCCACTTCCTGCTGGTGCTCCTAAAGAAATGTTTTCCAAGGAAACCGAAGAGCATTGTGGACACAGTCCTCTTATGAGCATTCCTTTCCTGGTAGAAATGCTGTTTTTGAGAACAAAAACAGGAATCAATGGCCCAGCATGACTTTGCTTTTATCCGGAGACACTTTAGGAGCTCTGAAAATCATTTCAGCTTTGTGGATTACTGACAGACTCCAAGGGAGCGGCCTACTGGATAAAGCGGTACATTCCCTCATCAGGCCTCCAAGGTGACAGCTACACTTCCTGTTCTTAACTTCTGTGAATGAACAGAGAAACTGCTTTCTGAATGAGGAAAGTATTAGAAGAGTCACAGCGCATAGAGACACGATGCTCAGGTAAGTTCTTTTCTGCTCAGGGATGGTGGCAGGAGCCTGTAATCCCAACTTTGTGGGAGGCTGAGGTAGGAAGATTGCAAGTTCAAGGCCATCCTGGACAACTTAGTGAGACCTTGTCTCAAAACAAAAATATGGAAGAGTAAGGGTATAGCCCAGTGGTAGAGCACTTACCCAGCATGCACAAGGCTTCAGCACAGAAAAATTTTAAAAATCAGTCATCCCAGAATCCCAGTTGCTATCTCCCTCAACACACATACACATACACACACGCACGCACGCACGCACGCACGCACACAGAGGCAGCTTCTTTTGGTGCTGAGGATCAACCCCAGCCCTTACACATACTCTATCACTGAGCTATACCCCAGCCCATGGCTGAGTGTCAAAACATTCACCTTCAGGGAGGAATCAGTATTTGGACTATTAACCTTTCCTACAAAAATCTAAACAAGGAAATGTATAAGCCAGACCCCCTCCCAACTCACCCCCGTATGAGTCACTCTAAACACAGGGGTTCCATGTAAACACCAGGTGAGCATGTGTACTGTCCTCAGACACCAGAGCTGCGCTGCCCCCTGGCTTGGCACTGGAAGAGGGGACCTGAATGTTATGTGACTGGCTAATGAACAGGACTCTGGGCTCTGGCCTGAAACTCAAATGCAACTGACATTGCAGGTCGGTGACCCACAGAGACCCATAAGGCGCCCACAAGTATGTTCCTGGTTGGCTGTGCTGGACTCTGCTCAATGACGGCATTACCCTGTGACCTCAGGGGACCTGTGACCTGACTTAAGGGAACTGCATGTTATCCCAGGTTCTCCAGGGAATCGCAACGCCCTGACAAGTGATGCCTGGGTAGGAGAGGCATCTCTGGAAATCCCTGGTATATTTTTTAGTCATGTGTGGGATGGGTACCTCAGGTGTGGGTCCCTCACACCGTAAACAGTGCTGGTGGCCTCAGGACACTGAGAACCACTACCCTGGCAGGATCTTGCATGTCTGGCCTCCTTCCACCTCACATCTTTAAGCTTATACAAACAACACCCCCCGCCCCCTGGCCTGGTTTCAGGACAGACATGGTGTACAAGGAAAGGGACGTGTGCCTGAGGGGCTAGGAGGTAGAGGAGGCTGAGCTGGCTCATGCTCCCTCACCAAGGCCCAGAGCTTCACCAGTGGGGGCTTCCAGTGTACCACATAGGTGAACATCAAATGCTCAGGTGCTGGGAGGCTCCTCTGGGATCCGTCTGGGTTCCTGAGATTCTCCCATCTTGGAAGGAGCAGGAACCCCAGGAGGGCTCTGGGCAGAGGGCTGAGGACAGCAGCGGCAGCAGAGGGAGAAGAGCCTTGTGCGGACCACACGCGTGCAGAGGACAAACATGATACAGTTGGCGCCTCCCTGGAAGGTGTTCCCAATGCCCTGTGGGGGAAGGGAGAGAAGAGGTGTAAGTACAGGGCTGGGGGCAGCTCAGAAACACAATCCTGGGGAGGCAGGAGACTGCTGTGGATCCATGACCTTTCCTGTCCCTTTCTGCCCCAATGCTGTCCCAGTGCTCAGCTGCGTGGCCTTTAGCAGAGTTCTGGACAGGCCTGAACTGGCCACCTAGCTACACTGTGTCCAGATCTTCTAAGGTAGGAAGGATCCAGGATCAGTCACCTCCGCTGATGCTTCTCTGGGTTGCTGACAGGAACTGGGCACGCAAAGCCCACGGATTCCTCCCCATCACCCTGCAAAGCCACATATCTTTGGGCCAAAAGTAAGGTGCTCTAGTGCCATCCTGCTCCCCACAGCCCCACTGCGGCCAGCACACTGGGACCTGAGGGGCACTACTCTGTAGGGATGGAATGAGGCTATGTCACTGTGAGGCAGCAGGGCCCGAGACCACAGTCATTCACATACATGCAGAACGACCAGCACTGGTGACTGTACTGCTGGGGAGCCACAGAGGGTCAGGACAAAGCGCACGGTGCTCCAGACCCGGAGGCAAATGAAGATCAGTGGGATGAGGACCAGCTTCTTATCAGCCACGGAGGAGGAATGTCGCTGGAGCTGGGGCCCCTCGCGGATAGGCCGGTACTCTGAGAGTGCCTCATGCTGTATGGGGACAGGGAGGGCAGATCTGAAGCAGACACTTCTGCTGGAGCCACTCACAGCCACCCACACATTCCCGGAGACCCATACCAGCCAGGGAAGGCAGGAGGGAGGCATTCAGCTCTTTTCCGCTTGGACACTGAGGAGACCTGGCGTCTACGAACTAGGGTCTTTCTCCTGAAGCAGAGACTCCCAGACCCCCTGCCTGGCACTCCACATGTCCACAGGGGTATCCCAAAGCTGTCAGAAACTCACCTAAGATGGAATGCCTTATCTTAGCCCTCAACTCTACTGCACGTTTTTTCTTGTCTCAGCTGAGTCACCCCATCCTTCCATTCACCTGTGTGACTTGGGCATGATCTAGCCCTCTCTTCCACAGTCTACACCTGACCTTCAGGCAAGCCCTATGGACCTACCTTCAAAATAGACCCAGAATCTAGAACACTGGCTCACCTCCAAGGCAGACTCTGGTCCAGGCACCATGACCACTTCTAACTGGTATCCCTCCTTTCCATTTTCAATACAGAAGTGGCAGGTTCCTAGAAGGTCTAAGGCAGGTTTGGGGGAGTCCTCCACTCAAATCTCTCTGTGCCCCCGCCCCAGGCCTTCCTTACCATATCCCAGCTCTGACCTCATTCTCACAACTCACCAGCTGAAATGGCCAATCACAGAGATGAGTGTTTGAGCCCAGTCCTGTGTCTAGGACACTGAAGGCTGGGGCGAGGGAACCACCAGACATCTAGCATCTTTGAGCTCAACTGCTTGAGGTACCTAACTCTTCTTCCCCTTGGGGTCTGCGGCAGCAGCCTGGGGAGATGAATAACCCCCTCAAATAGCTGGAGAGTAAGGCACAGGGCAGACAGCTAGGCAGGAGGTGGAGCAGCTTGGAGAGACTCGACTAGGCTGCCCGTCTGTCCCTCCTTAAAACAAAGCTTCCTTCCCCATCATTAATTTTGAGCTCTCCTTCCCAGCTCCAGGTGTGGAACTTTACATTCTCATCTCCCTGACCACCTCATTCCTTTTCTTTTCTGAAAACCTTTGCCAAATTGTAAGAGGAATTGTCACATGCAAGGGCCAGGCCTGGCAGGCACAGAGGCTCCCAGGTTTCCTGCCCTGATCCAGAGAAGGGCGAGACAAAAGCAGAAAGGCACAAGAGGGCAGAGCCTGGTAGAGCTCCTGGGAGACTTCATCCTCCTGGAGCACCACCTCCATCTTCCCAGGGCAGTGGCAAGGGGAGGGATTGGAAGGGGTTCCCAGGAGAGCTTGCCTGTTTGTCTAGGGGGATGGGAGGCTCAGAGTCCAGCAAGAGACCAAGTAAAAGGCGCCAAGAAAGCAGAGGTGGCTGACTACAGGCTCACTGCTAGTTCTGATGCCCCAACCAAGACTCAGCTGAGCCAGAGAGGAGGTAGGGCGGGCAAGATCGGGCAGGTGGTGATCAACTGGTGAGGATCAGCTGGATGGAGAACCAGAGTCTCAGAAAACACAGATATAAGGATTGTTCAGGGATAAGTTATCCCTAAATCACAGATGCCCCCAAGGAGCTTCCTAACTCAACAACGGCTCCTCAGTCAGCAGGACCTACAGTTGTGGGTATGGCTCAGTATATACACATTTAAGCAAGTAGAGACCCTGGGTTCAATATCTAGTACTGCAAACACAAACAGTCCAGTATGACCTAAAAGAAAGGACACACCCTCCTAGTTTCTGCCTTGAAAAGTAGAGAGAACAAGGCAGGCAGGCTTAAAGTCCCAGCACTTGAGAGGCAGAGGCAGGAGGATCAGGAATTCAAAGTCATTCTCAGATGCATAGTGAGTTCAAGCCCAGCCTGAGCAATATTAGACCCTGTATCTTGGGCTATGTTGTAGCTCATTTGGTAGAGTACTTGCCTAGAATGTAGGAAGCCCTTGGAGTTGACCCCAGCACACATAAACTGTGTATGGTGACTCACACCTGTGATTCTAGTGCTTGGGCAGTGAAGACAGGAGGATCAGAAGTTTAAGGTCATCCTTGTTTATACAGTGAGTTCCAGGCCAACTTGAGCTACATGTGACCCCATTTCAAAAAAACAAATCAGGGGCTGGAGAGATAACTCAGTGGTTAAGAGCACTCTTGCAGAGGACCTGAATTCAGTTCCCAGCACCCTCATGGCAGCTAACAACTATTCTTAACTCTAGTTCTAGGGAATCCAACACTCTCTTCTGCCTTCTGTGGGCACTGCACTACAAGGTGCACTTATATACATGCAGGCAAAACACTCATACACATAAAATAAAAATAATAAATAAAATATATTTTTTTAAAAAACAAATAAAAAGCCAGGCCTGGTGGCACATGCCTTAATCCCAGCACTCAAGAGGCAGAGGCAGGTGGATCTCTGTAAGATAGAGGCCTGGTCTATATAGCAAGTTCCAGACCAGCTAGGGCTACAGGGAGACCCCATCTCAAAAACAAACAAACAGACAGACAGACAGACAGACAGACAAAACAAAGGTTGGTGTGGTGGTGCATGGTCTTAGCACTTGAGGGGCAGAGGCAGGAAGATTTCTGAGTTTGAGGCCAGCCTGGTCTACATAGTGAGTTCCAGGCCAACCAGGGCTACCTAGTGAGACCCTGTCTCAAAGAAAAGGAAAAACAAAACAAAACAGAAAACAAGACCCTACCTCATAAAAGTCAAAATAGTAATAAATAAATGAAAAGAAACAGGGCATCTTGCCAGCACCCTGCAGCCGCGGCCTGGGAGTCCACATTCAGGGCATCTCCTTGGAAGCTGTTGCTGCTCCAGCCACTTGTAAATTTACCTTGATTTAACATTAATTCCTTAGACCTCCACCTTCCCGGAGACAAGCCTGCCTTTCTGGCCACTCCTGATGATGTATAGGTTCCTGAAAAGTCCATCCCTTTTGACACAATTCTGACCACAAAAGGTAACTAGGTGAGTTATCTATGTCCCCTTTCAGGACTGGGGAGCCAGTCCACACCTGGCAGCATCCTTCACTTTCACCTAAACTCCTAAGTGTAAGTGCCATGGGATGTCCACACGGGGGCAGTACAGGGCTGTGGTCGGGAACAGAGATCTGTGTTCTTGAGGTCCTGACTGCAGCTCTGACCCCAGAGTCCCTGAGCTAGCCTGGCCCAGGTCCCTCGGCTTGTTTCTCAACTATACCAGGACCGGCAAGCAGCCCAAGCACACAGTCCCTGTGGCCTACCACTAGTTTTGTTCACTAAAGGTGCTGTCTGCCCCCACTAAGGGCCAGTGTAGCAGGCACCTACAGCTCTGTTGATGTGCTTCCTGACCAGGAGGTAGAGCAGGGGCAGCAAGATATAAGCCAGCATCTCCCACAGCTTCCCGGTCAGCAGCATCCACAGGACGTGGTCCTTGGCCTCCAGGTCGATCCAGCACCAGCCCACGGACACATCTGAGGCATCATAGCCGATCTTCTTTAGAGCGACAGCTGCCACTGTGATGACCAGTGGGACACCCCAGCTGAGAAGGATCAAGAAAAAGAAGGCACTGAGGTCAGCCCACAACACCCTGCAGTGCCAGCCAGCACGGGCAAAAATTGCAGAGGTAGGGACTGGAGAGATGGCTCAGTGGTTAAGAACACTGGCTGTTCTTGAAAAGGACCCAGGTTCGAGTCCCAGCACCCACATGGCATCTAACAACCATCCTCTTCTGACCTTCACAGGCATTGTACCACACGGGTGCGCTTACATACATGCACTCACACACAAAAAATAAAATAATAAGCCAGGTGTGGTGGTGCACACCTTTAATCCCAGCACTCGGGAGGCAGAGACAGGCGGATCTGTGTCTCTGCCTGGTCTACATAGTGAGTTCCAGGACAGCTGGGGCTACAGGTAGACCCTGTCTCAAAAAGACCAAAAAAATAAAATAAAATAAAATAATAAAATATTTTTTTAAAGAAATGACTGGGGTGCTGTTTGGAGAAAGGGACAGTGCCCCAACCGCAGGATGTGAGAGTGTCCCTGGAAAATAAAGATAGGCAGGCATTGGGGAGCCTGGTTATAATCTAGAATTCCAGGGACTGGGGATGGGGCTCTGTCAGCACAGTGCTTGCTGAACATGAACGAGACCCTGGAGTCAATCCTCAGCACCACATAAACTGGGCCTGATAATGTAAGCCTATAGTCCAAATACTTGGGAGGCGAAGGCAGGAGGATCACTGTGCGTTTGAGGCCAGCCTGGACTACAGAGCAAGTGTCTCAAAACAACAAAATAAAGTAAAATAAAATAAATCAATAAAAAATGAAAAAATAAAAACGGGGGGCTGGAAAGATCGCTCGGCAGTTAGGAGCACTGGCTGCTCTTGCAGAGGACCTGGATTCAGTTCCCAGCACCCACATGGCAGCTCACAATCATCTGTAACTCCAGTTCCAGAGTATCCAACACCCTCATCTGGCCTCAGTGGGCACCAAGCATGCACACAGTGTGCATACATACATGCAGGCAAAATACTTATCCATAAAAATAAATAACCCCTAAAAAAAAATAAAATAAAGTGAAGCCAGGCATCATGGCTCACGCCTGTAGTCCCAGCGCTTGGGAAGTAGGGGCAGGCGGATCTGTGAGTTCGAGGCCAGCCTGGTCTACACAGTGAGTTCCAGGCCAGCCAGGGCTACAGGGGGACCCTGTTTCAAAAAAGATAAAAAATAAAGGGAAATAAAAATTCAGGGTTCCACAAAGTCTGGCACTAGAAGGGTGTGGCCAGAGAGAGCCGGTTCCCACACGCCCAGCTTCTCTCCCTGTACCCAGAGGGGTGTGGCGACAGCCTGCAAATACCAGGCTGCATGTCCTGGCTCATGCACCAATGCCCTGCCACTATCCTGGCAGCTTGGGGTCACGAAAGCAGGGAGAATTCCAGGGTCTAGAAAGTGGATCAGGGACTATGAGTAAGCAGATGCCCTCGGCCCTGAGGCCTCTCTTTTTATGTGGAGGGAGTGTAGCCTGATAAGGAGGGCACTGTCCTGCTCAGCTGTTTAAAGTCACACTCTTATGACACAACTGCAATTAGGCCCAAGTTCCCTTCCTGAGGGCCCCTGCCCAGATTCCTTACAAAGCAGCTTAACAGGTCAGGGAGACACCTAAAAGATACATGTGGCTTCTTAGAGAGGTAACACATGGGACATCGAGAGCTTGGACTCTGATGTAATGGGCTGGGTCCAAATTATAGCTGTTTCCACTTGGGCAAGCTATTTAGCCTCAGCACACCAGCGTTCTCACAGGGTGGGGATGACAACAGTAACATCTGAGAACAACCAGATGAGCATGCGTGTAGCACAGCACACAGGCCTGAGCAGCCACATCTGTGCCAGCTGCCAAGACTGTGGTTAAGGCTGGGCAGGGCAGCGCATGCCTGTAATCCCAGCACTTGGAAGGCAGACACCCCAGTAACCAACCTGGGCTACATTTCGAGGCTTCGTGTCTCCAGTAATGTTTCACGACTGGCTCAGAAGAATGCAAACAGATGCGTGTGTGTGGGGTGTGTGTGTGTGTGTGTGTGTGTGTGTGTGTGTGGTATGTGTACATTTTATCATACCACTGATAGAAAAATGTGGAGCACACAAGTGCTACATAATCATAAAACACACGGTACTCCCTATGGACAACTCCATATAACCAGCTGAATCTCAGGATGCTTTTGCTGACTTCTGCTGAACCCTGCCAGATGTGGTCAGGAAATGAGAGCAATCTATCCCATGAAGTTGTCCCTAACTTTTATTTTTCTTTGACATCTAAGATTAAAGTTAAAGTCAGGCCTAGCTGTGCAAACCTGTAAGCTCAGCTCAAGGGAAGCTGAGGCAGAAGGATTGCCAGGAGCTTGAAGCCAGCCTGAGCTATACAGTGAGACCCTGGGGGTGGGACGTGGAGAGAATGAGGCATGTGAAAACAGAAAATACAGAGGATAAGACACAGGCTGTTACTTCACTGGACAGTGACCAAGCAACTTCTTTGCTCAGTGAAAACCTAGTTTTCCCACACTGAAGCACAGCTCCTCGTTCTTTCCTCCCCATCTCTTCTCATCACTCACCGGAATGCTCGGCTACCTATCCGCCCCGACACGGTGCCATCTCTGCTTCAATAGTAACGTGTAATTTTTAAAAATTTATTTTTATTTTATGTGTATGAGTGTCCTGCCTGCATGTATGTAAGCGCACCCATGTTGTGCAAAGCCCAGGGAGGCCAGAAGAATTCCAGGATTCCCTGGAACTGGAGTTATGGACAGTTGTTAGCTGTCATGTGGGTGTTGGGAATTGAACCCAGGCCACTGGGAGAGCAGCCAGTGCTCTTAACTGCTGAGCCATCTCTCCAGTCCTCAGAGGCAGTAACACTGCTAAGCTCAATCTGTACATATTAAGGTCATCCTCACCACTTACGATTTTTTAAAGATTTATTTTTACTTTGAGTGTTTTGCCCACATATATGTACATGCACCTGTGTCATGCAATACCCACAGAGGCCAGAAGAGGGCATCATATCCTCTGGAACTGGAGTTATAGACAGTTGTTAGCTGCTACATGAGTGCTGGGAACTGAACCCAGATCCTCTGGACGAATAGTCAGTACTCTAAACTACTGAACTATCTCCCTAGCCCACTTAAATTTTTTGAAACAGGGTCTCCTGTAGCCCAGGCTAGCCTCAAAGTCACTATGTAGCCAAAGATGACCTTGAACTTTTGATCCTTCTGCCTCCATTGCGGAGTGCTGGGGTTATAGGCATGCACCACCACGCTGGGTTTATACTGGGGATCAAACCCAGGGCCTCGTACCTGCCAGGAAACACTCTACCAATCAAAATACATCCCCAGGCAACATGAGCACTTTCTTAAATCTAGATGCCAGTCCAGTGAACAGTGGCCCTCAGACCAAATTCAGCCCAAACTCTCTCTATTTTGGGTTATTTTACTTATTTATTATGGCTATTTATTTGTTTGCTTGTTTTTATTTTTGAGACAAGCTCTTACTATGTAGCTCTGGCTGGCCTGGAACTTGCTATGTAGACCAGGCTGGCCTCAAACTCACAGAGATCTGACTTTCAATGATCCTCCAGCCTTAGCCTCTATGCTGGGACCCAGATCTGTTTTTGAAAGATCTGCTGCAACACAGCAATGCCCCTTCATTTGCATATTGCCTGTGGCTGCTTTCCAGTGGGGCTGGGCAGATTCAGCTGGGAATGCAAAGCTCAGCCAAACTGAAAATATAATAAATACATCCTATTTGGTTCTTCTCAGGGAAAGTTTGTTGACTTCTGTTTCACACACTCAACAGAGCGATTGATCAAGCCTTGATCTGTAGTATTTGCCAATTTTCATGGGGTAACTGTGGCTCTCGACCTGCCTTTAAATGTCTGAAAGTCTTGGGGCTGGAGACATGGTTCAGCGGTTAAGAACACTGACTATTCTTGCAGAAGACCTGGGTTCAAATCCCACCACGTGGCAGCTAACAACTGTCCATAACTCCAGTTCTAGAGGATCCAACAGCCTCTTCTGTCTTCCTCAGGCATTGTACAACATGGGTGCACTTACATACATGCAGACATAACACTCATACGCATAAAATTTTTTAAAAATAATAAAGCATTTTAAATGTCTGAAAGTCTTAAAAAGGAGCTGCTGGTGGAGAAGATGCAGATAGTTGGGGGATGGGCAGAAGCCCCCCCTGATCTTAAAGCCTTCTCCCCCTACAAAAGGGCCATTCAAGTCACAAATGAAGCCTCTCCAAGCCTGTGATTCTGAAGCAGGGAGACCCAAGGCCTCAGGTCTGTCTAGCTCGAAGACTAGCCTACCACACCCTGAGTAGATCTTACTCAGACAGGCATTAACAGCAGCTCCTGGGGGAGGTGCCTGGGCCCCTGGTTTGTGTTTGCCTAGAACCCGAAGCCAGTCTCTGCACTGCCAGCCTCACTTCTCCAACACACTAACGGACCGAACTACACTTCATCCCAGATTCATCTGTTGAAATCTTTTCCTTTTTTTGCAGGTTTTATGGTTTTATTTAAGCACAATGAACAATACAAGCAGGCGAGCCGTCTATTCATTTTCTTCACTGTGCCGCCTGGCATTGGGGTTGGTGACCCTGATGGCCAGCTGTGCTGCTCTTTCCGAGATGGCTTTGCAGTTCTTGGAGGAAATGCTGTGTGCTATTTCAGCACAGGAAGATCTGTTGCACATCAGGAACACTTCCAGCTCCTTGACGTTGTGAACTGGGAACTTCCAGAAGCCACTGGACAGCATGTGCTGTTTTCTTGCTGCTCTCATAATCAATGCTGGGCATCAGGATTTGGCCCTGGAACCGTCTCCGTACCCTGTTGTCAATAGCTCTAGGTTTCCATCAGTTGTGCTTAATTTAGAGATATCAACCAGGCTGGTTCGGGATGAACTTCTTGGATCTCTTTCTGATGATCTTGGGCTTCACCAGAGGTCCGAGGGAAGCCATGATGCCTCTCAGGAGATGAAGCCACCTCAC